TCTTATCTGGATTAACCCTATGATTGCAAATCTATAATTAATTCCTTGATATAAGTAAAACCATAAGATTTAATTTTGAATCAGCATCCATATTTAGAATACTAATATTTTACAGTTAATTGGTAGCATTCACTTCTTTAAAAAATATTAGTAGCCTTCAAATCAAACAGACCACTTATGAAGTGATGCATATATAGTGAATTTATATACAAAATAAGAATATTGATTTGATTTGTGTGATTTTCAAAAACATTTTCAGGTATTGTAGTGTTTATAATAACATTTTCTTGTTACCTTTTTGTCTTTAGATCATGAACTTATTATTCACTTTCATAACAAGAAATCAGAAACATTGAACATGACTTTCTAGCTATACATATATGAACGTGCTGTATGAATAACTGTACCATCAGTTTCAGAAACTTACTGTATCAGGCTGTTTCGTTTTGTTTTTAGAGAATCTTAGGGGAATTTTACAAAATAGAATTTTACCTTATAACACGAGGGGAAAGCCAGATGTGAAAACGAAAAATAAGCATTAAAATGGAAAATACTGTAGTGTTTAACTGTCAGTAATTTTAATACATAAAAGATCTTATTTATTCTGTCAATATTCACGACTCCTTTGGTGTAATTAAACATACAACTTCATGCAAAATGTTTCCTGGCTTACAGCCAGAATATATATTTTAAATTCCAAAGAATACAAACACTCAAATATAAATATATTTTTAACTATAAAAAGGTAAGCTCAATTATCCTTGTCTTATGTGATAGTTTAGAGGAAGAAAGAGAAAAACAGACCTTTTCTATGTTATCAGGTACATCAAAATTTTGCTTAAAAAATGAAATTTTCATAATTAAAGATTTCTAACTCTTTTGAATGCAGTGAATCAGGATCTCAATACAATGTTTATCTAGAACACTCAGCCCTTATATAATACTGGCTGAGTAATGCACCCATGATCTTGATTTCATCAGTTCTAGTATCGTTTTGTAATCCATAAAAACAATATGAACAAACTAGGTGAGTATTTCCCAAAGTGTGATCCTGAGAATACACATCAAAAGTGTTATCAGGAAAGGGGATTTAATATTCAACAATGTTAATTATTGAGAGCTTTCAACATATAAAATTGTGCATTATGATTTTTTTAGCATACTCAGTAGTTTATAGTCTGCTAAAATTATTTCACAATAGGATCTAATCTTTAAAGGGCACATTGGAAAATTTATAGTTTAGGAAAGCTGAATCTAGAGATCAAGTTCAATCCACTTCCAAAAGGTTAGCATTACTTGCCTTTACTTTTTCTGTACTTTCCATGGCTTTTGTTAACCACAGCATGGCCAGGGCAATCCTTCCTGCCTCCTTGGTTTGCTCAGCCTGTTTCTGGCACTGTCACTTTATCTACTCCTAAAGTCACTGGCCAGCATTCAGGTGTTGCTGATTCATGACTCCAGAAACCGACTGATGACTCAGTCCTTTAGGTCAGCAGAATATACCAGTGCAAATAGCTTCACTGGATGCTGTGGTTGTTCCATGAAATAGCGTCCAGCAGGTGAGTGGGAGAGAAAAGCAAGTCTGTAGCTGGTGGGTGACTAAACCAAGAGTCTAATCAAGAGAAGAAAATTAGCCCTATTTTTGCTGCTGAGGAGAGAAAGAGAGACTACTATATTTCTCATAGGAAAAATGAAACTTCAGCTTTTGGGTTTGGATGCTTACTTACTAAAAATATATGGAGATGAAAATATGTGATACATGTTTTAAATTTATTTTAAAAAATCACATTATTTTAGTTGTTGGATTTTGCTTAAAAAAAAAAAAATGTTGTGCCCAGGCACAGTTCTGGGATGAGAAATCCCAGTGATTCAGGAGGATAAGTCAGGAGGATAGCAAGTTCAAGGCTAGCCTCCACAAGTTAGTGAGACTCTCAGCAACTTATAAAGACCATGTCTTGGGGCTGGGGTTGTGGGCCTAGCACATGATAAGGCCCTGGGTTCGCTCCTCAGCACCACATAAAAATAAATAAAATTAAAGGTATGGTGTCCAACTACAACTAAAAAATAATTTTAAAAAAAGATCATGTCTCAAAATAACAAATAAAAAAAGGATGAGGATGTACCTCAGTGGTAAAGCACCTCTGGGTTTAATCTCCAGTATCAAAAGAATTTTTTTTTCCTTTTGTAAACCTTAAGGTTACTACAAACATTTCATGTACTCAGATTAGTAGATTGACTATCTTAATGCTTTGGAAAAGTTTCTTCACATTTGCTTCATTTATCACGACATATTACAGCTTTCTAAGAGACTGAATGATTTAAAAAGCCAGATTTCATGGTGATTATTTCCATAGACAAATCATTCAGTGCCCAGTCCTTTGACTTAATTTTTTTTTATTTGTGAATGAGGATGCTGAAGAGGAGAGAGGAGAAACACACACACACACACACACACACACACACACACAGAGAGAGAGAGAGAGAGAGAGAGAGAGAAAGATTCTTAGGATATTAATAGCCAGATTCTGCTTTGGCAGTCAAAGATGAAAAATCCCTCAAAGAGCTTAAAAAGAAATAGGAAGAATCAAATGCAACACAAAAATAAGATCAACATGCTATAGAAATTCAGAAAAAAGGATACTTGTTTACCTAGGAACTTCTGGAGAAGGCTTCCTGGTGGCAATAGAAGCTACAATCTGTAATTAATAGCAATAGCATTAATGGCAAGGAATTGAAATGGTTACAGGGGGAACTGGGTCCCTTATGTCTGTTATAAACCATAGAAATTCTTCACAGTTCTGGGATGAGAAGTCCAAAATTAAGGTCCCAGCAGATTCAGAGTCTGGTGAGGGACTCCTGGTTCATAAACAGTTGTCTTCTCACCATGTCCTCCCATGGCAGAAGGGGCAGGAGACTTCTGTTGGCCTCCTTTAAAGGACACTAATCCCATTCCCTAGGGCTCTGACCTTCTGATCTAATCACCTCCCAAAGTCTCATCTCCTAATATCATTTTGGGGGTTAGGACTTGAACAGAGGAATTTTTGAGAGCCACAGATATTCATACCATAGCCCAAGGCCTTAGAAATGATATCTTTCTTATCACCAAGGTTAAGATCAAAGGAGTTTATGACCTGATCTGGGAGATTTCTCCAGGTTTTGCCAGCTACCCTCACTTAGGCATTCACTCTCTTCTGTCCAAATTGCTACAATCCCATTTAGTCTCCAGGAAGAGTTGAGCTGAAGCAGAAGCTCAACCCATTCAGATTGTCAATATTCCCTTTAAGCTTTTGGTGACTTCTCAAAATGTTGCCTGTTGCTTTATGTTACCTATTCCTCTACCCTGCCCTGCTTCTGCTCCCAAGTATGCAGGACATTGTGTTTCCCAGCTGCAGACTTCCTGGAAGGTGCAGTTAGACAGATGAATATGAACCTAAGGAATAAAAAAGATGCCAGGAAACTATAGCTGTGTTCAGGGAGAACTGTTCTTCTATTGAGTGCAAAAATTGTGGTAGGAGAAAGAGAGTTGAGTGAGAGAAAAGACTGGAAGACAGATGGGAGCCCTCACATGAAATTCTTCTATGTTCATTTAGCTTAAAAAAAATCAGGCTAGTTTTTTTTTTTTGTAAGAAGTAAGAGAATATTGAATATATTTAATCAAAGAAGTAACATGGTCTAGATTTTTCATTGTGAAGTCTCATTTGGTGACTAGAAATAAAATGGATTGGTGAGGCCCATGCAATAATAGTTAATAGAACTTGATCAGAAGTCATAAAATTGGGAAGGCAAAAGTGAAGGAAATATGAGATTATGAGGGATTAGAAATGGTGCAAAGGAGAGGCAGCAAAGATGCAATCTCCAAGAAATGCAGAATAACAAAGGTCTCTGAAACTCAATGTATAGGAATCATTAAGATAAATAGGAAAGTTCAAGGGCAGGGAGCCCTTTTATGTTGCCAGTTATATGACATCCCCAGAGCAAGTAGTATGGAGTGATAAAAAGTACATTGAATTAGGAACAAGAAGTTGTATCCCATCTTGGACAAGATGTGACTTCTGTCAATCTTATTTTTCCCAGATAATGCTTCTCTTGTACACTGGTTGAATGAATCATTTTAAGTAGTTTTGAAGTAAGTACGCATGGTTGGTGCTTTACAAAATTTTTCTGGAAATGAATCTCTGGGGTAGAAAAACCTTAATCTTGGTCCCACTGATTCAGTGACTTCCTGTGTTGAAACTTATTCCCCAGCTTTTGAACTAAGTGACATTTCTGCTCTTACTTAGACCCCTCTAGAGACAGAGAACTACTTACCTTGCTATGTAACTCACTTTGTCCAAGACAGTCCTGAGTGCAAGGAAGTCTTCAGTACCTTGTATAAAGTATTTTCTGAGACCATCAATTCTCAAAGATTTCTGTGCATAGAAACTAACACAACTTTCGGTCCTAGTGAGACTTGTCCAGGACTGATTTCTGGAGCAGCACAGGAATTTGTTCCCTGAAGAGTTTTCTGAATGATTCAGATGAGGAAGTTCTTGGACAAATATTATCCTAAAACTCCACTCCATGTGCTATCTTGACTTCCAAGTGCTATATAGAATAAACCCATTATAGTTCAAGAAAATTCCTATTGAATCTCCAATGATATTCTTTTCCAACTATAATATGAAGTTACCTGGTTACAGTGCTTTGGGTAAACTGACACACATAAAATAATGTGAAACATTATCTTAAGATGAAAGAATTTATTTTCTTAAGAAAAAGGTGAATCCTTAAGTAGCATGTTTTACCATAACAGCTAATGATTATTGAAGCTTTCCATGTGCCACCTCTATTAATATGCCTTATTCTAGTATTCGTATTTCAATATTTTCCCCTCATAAACATAGTTTAGGTTTCAAAAAGTTAAGTATCTTTCTCAGGGTTACAAAGTGACAGCCGAATTTCAAATACCACATTTTATTGCCTTACTTTAAAAAAACTAAAGATTTTTTTTTCTTTTTTAGCCAAGATGATCTTTAAGGATGTTTATGGATGTGGTACCCAAGAGAGATGTACATCCACCCTAAGAAGTAAGACCTCCTATCATCTAGTAATATGTTTTTGTTAGTTATTTTTCTATCTGTGTGCATTATTATTATGTTGTCAGTGGTGCATTAAAACAATATTAATTTGACTCCAAAGATGGATTTGTTTGTGTTTTTCTGTGGGAAGTGTCTTTCCTTGGCCTTAGCTCCCTGGAGAAGCCTTTTGTCGTGAGCTTGTAGTAATAAAAGTTGGCAAGCTATGCGAATGGAGTGAAAAGAAAAGGAAAAATAAACAACTGAAGACTAGGTTCATCTGTTTTGCAGGTTTGCTTATATGTATCTAGGACTGATGTCTCTACATATGAGGTCTACAGTAGGTGATTCTGAATCTACCAAGAGTCGTTTTACATATTGCCATTTAAAATAATACATAAATAATTGTATTTTTACAATGGTATGCTTTTTTTTTAGTTGTCTGGTTTTTAAGGATTGTGCAATATATACTGAAATACTTCTATTAGGTTAATTATGATGATAGAGGGAAAAGGGACCAATAGTTCTTGCTTTTCTTAACTAGCATTTCTAAATCATAGTTGTATTCTATTATCATTTGAAGAAACTGAATAATTATTGATTCTTGGGTTTTCTTGTAGACCAATTATAATCAGAATCTTTGGAATGGAACACAGTTATAATGCATTTTCAAGCTCCCAAGTGATCCTAGGAAACAGCAGTGTTGAGAACCACAATTCACTCTGTGTTTGTAATCAAACCTGGAATTGTGAACTGCCCCATGCTTACATGTAAAAAACAACAAAACTACTCCAAACACATCATCTTTAGTAGAAGTGCTGACTGTTGAAGGATAAACTGAAAGCTAAATTTTATAATGAATTGGTAAACATAGCCAATTCATTAAATTTATAAGGAGAGCTTTTTAGGTAGAAATATGAACAATTCTCAGAGATAAGAGAAATAGGGCTCATATAACTTTTGAGAATCTGAGGATAAAATTATAATTCAAACTTCAACTGGTTAAAGCCTCATCTTCTAATATCTTCATAATAATATATGAGTTTATTCTTACTCAAATTCTTATAAAGTTAAAATTTTACTTATTTTTATAATTTGATCAAACCTTTGCTTTCAGACAGAATAATTTCTCATTATCAAGTTTGCAGATTTTCTCAAGGAACTCTACTATGGACATTTTTACTGACATGACTTACTATCATGGTTATTGCTCCAGGTCACTTTGATGACCAAAGAGAGCTAGACAATTGAAGGAAAAGAGAAAAGAAAAGAAAAGCTTCATTATGTATTTGATTGGTTCCAGTAGTTCACATTTTCTTTTCCTGCTGGAGGTTCAATCATACCATGTTATTTATTCAGCTTTTCTTGAAAGAAAGATGTTTTTTGATATGTCATGTACCCAATTCTTCTACAAATGGCAGACCACACATGGAAGTTGCTTTAGAGTGTTGGTTGAATGTTGAAACCTTTTTTGTATCTCCCCAAGGTTTGTTTGAACTAAATGTTAAGTACTAGCTCTTAGACAACTGTGCATGTTGTGAACAGATCCAGAGTGTTCCAACATGCCAGTGGCATATCATAATGGTTACCGTAAAGACACACAGCCTGAAATTACCTTGATTGTGTGTGGGGGGGGTCCTACAGAGTACCTGTGATTGACTCCCACAAGGCTAAGGGCCAGCCAACCGCTGAGGGCATTTATTGTGATGTACTCTTTAAGTGGTCTCAACAGGACACCAGGAGACTGAAAATAGAGTTGTTTAGACATTCTCTTGCCAAGAGTGATTTCTGGTTTTGGTGTTATTACGAAAACTCTTTAGTGTTCCCACGGTCATTTCCTCACATAAATCCTTGCTTTTTGATGTCCTTTCACCTCATTCATTTTCAAGGCAAGTTGGTTTGGTGCCATTTAATTTCCTAATTGTTTTCTTCTCCCGTTGTTCTCTTCTTTCTTTCTTTTTCTTACTTTCTTTCCCTTCTTCCCTCCAAATGTTGGCCACGATCAGAACATGACTTAGTCAAGGAGTATCTACGGATTGTTTTTAGTCCGCAGTACTGACACTTTGCAGTTGTTAGGGGTTGTTTTGAAGGGCATAAATTGAGCTCTCAGTTCAGAATGTTTGAGCTCCTTTCTTTTTTTCTGGTGCTTTTATCTAGCTGCTGACTTTTAGATCCTTTTGCATCATTTTGCAAGGTTTTTATAAAGTCATCCCTTTGTGAAAATGTACCACTTTGTTGAATGTCATGGAATTTTTATTGATTTGCACGGTTCCTTCATCTTGGGACAAATCCTCAGTTACCTCGGATGATGTTTTTTTTGTGTGTGTTAGCATTCCTTTCATTGTTTGCTGTTTGTGTTCTCTTTGACGTTTTGATTTTCTAGATTTCAAGCAAAGGTTTTATCTTGAGTTCTCAGTGTAGTTTCCAACATTTTATATTTGAATATTTTTCATGAAGGTTAAGATTTTTTAAAATAATATGATTAATAATCACATCGCTCTTCCCTTAATTGGTACGGTGGGGTAGAGTTTATAAAGCTTGTGACCAGAGAAGTTGTGCTTCTCTTTAAATGACTGATAATCTGGATTTGCCCTTTCTCTGATACTATAAGCTGCATCTTGGCTCCTGAGCTGATATTGAAGTCAAATGCCTTTTTTACTCATTTCACAAGTTTGTGTTGAATCTTGTACAGTACAAGGTACTCTTTGTTAACTGCAAATTATTGTACAAAATAAAGACTACTGTTTTCTAATAATGACAACAAAAACAAAAAATAAAACAAAAAGTTTTAAAAAAGCACAATAGTGTATATCTTCATAAAATTTCAGCTTTCATAAATATCAGTGTAGTGAAATTATAGCATTTGATGAAACAAAGATGAGCAGCAAAGGAAAGAAAAGAATATTAAAAAAATATGTCAGAATATGGAGGAAAAGGTGAATTGTCCAGTGCGAGACAGTATCTAGGAAAGAAAAGCAGTTTGGATGTAACTCAGTTGTATAGTGTGTTATGACAAAATTCATAATGAAAAACAGTAAAGAAATGTGATGTGTTATTTTGATGAATATTGCTTAAGTAGAAGAGATTACAGACGAGCTGAAGATAGATGGAGCAGACACAAGTAGAGAAATGAGCAAAATCTTGGTCAAACATGAACACACACATCTAGAAAAAAAAAAACTTTATTCCAAGATAAAATCAGCTTCAAAAACTCTAATTGCATATATGAAAGGTATATCTCTGACACACATATAGATCTTATTTAGAATAAATGACCTTTTTCTTATTTCTTCTTAGACATTGCCCTTGTGTATTAAACTATACTTAGGAAAGTTGATGCACAAGAGGAAATTTGTAAAAATACGTTGTCTCATGCAAGCTTCTGAAGATAGTATATAGATGCAGTAGAAAAATACAAATTTTAAGAGGCTTGCATTCAAAGCCTCCCTAGCTTTCCCACCTTAACAAGGAACTTGGATATGGGGCAATGTTTCTCAAAATTTTATGTGCATGTGAATTCCCTGAAGATCTTGTGAACATGCAGATTCAGGTGCAGTAGGTCTGGCTGCAAGAATTCCAGGGGTTCTGAATGCTGCTGCTCTGCTATGGGCCACCCTGCGATTACCAAGGGACTCGGGATTTATTTGTATTCTATAGCGTAGTTACAAGAAATAGAATTCAGAGCCAATATTCTTCATATTACAACCCACAAAATGACATTAGTTAACTATAAAGTTTCTCTTTTTTTTTTCAGAAGCATGGATTTTTACTGATAAGCAAAATCAATATGAAAAGTGCACTCCCTCATCATTCATGTCTATTGCTGGGTCATGATTCATGAGAGTCTTCAGCTGAGAACAATCAGCTCCACTGGTGATTGGGTGTTTGGCCTTTCCTCTGTGACCAGCCTCCCCACTGTGCTCCAACTTCTCTAAACCAAGCCTCAGGTCACTAGCTAGACTTAGGGCAGCTTTTTCCCCTACTGCTCCCCAAACAGTGGGTTCCTGTACTTCTGTTTTTAAAACATACCATTTATTATTATCTTTATAACTATTTTCATTAACTTTTCTAAGTTATTGACATATATATATATGTATATAGGTCTATATGTGTACATATGCATGTATATACTTGTTTTTTTATCATTATTCCCTATAGTATGCATTATTCTATGTTGATTCTTGAAATTTTTGATTCATTTACTAGAAGACTCTGCTTTCTTTGAAAATGACCCAAAGCTTTGGTAGCTAATTGTCATAGCTTAATAATAGACAGTGCTCTGGCTACAAGAGGTAAATCTATGAATCTTTATGTATTTGTCTTACTTTTCTCATTGAAATATTACTTTTTAAATGCCTGTGTACAATCATCATTCAAAAATTCACATTTAGTGTTTGCCTTGTAGTGATGTTTATTATGTTTATAACATTAATCAGGAATGTGCATTTACGTTGATATTTCATTGATACATTTTATGCTTCAATGAACCAGTTTTGAACTGTTAATCTAAGTGTTGGGAATCAAGAATTTAGAGAAATCCAATAATAAGAAGAAAAATGAAGTTACAAATAAAACAGGCATACATAGGATACATGCTTTCTAAGTTATAATAGCTAGCATATAGTAGGTTTGTACACGTCCTTTAATAATTGGTGATTATTAAATATATATTTGACAAACTTGGCAAACGTTGTATTCACATATTTCAAATTGGTTATGTATGTTAGCAAACTTACTTCATTTTTGCTTCCTGCAACTTGCAAACCCTTGGCAAGATGACTACTAGGGTGCAGTCACTTGAAACTTCTATGCACCACATCTTGAGAAATTTTGCACTGAACCACATTTAGAAATTGGCTATGATAAAGGTTATAAAGACAGGCTTTATTGCAGAGTTTTAGAAACTTACTAACAATGCTTCAGTAGTATGATTGTGTGTGTTGTGCGTGTATGTGTGCCCATGTGTACATGCACATGTATGTGTTAACATAGGCATGTTTTGTAATACATTT